TTTATTTTTATTTTTATTTTATTTTTATTTTTATTTTTATTCATTCTTTATATACGATAATTGAATATCAATATATTCCTTATAATTTGACTACTCCAACGATGCTCATCCGTCTCTTCTCTCCTTTCTTAGGTATCGTCTCCCGTGCGCACCCACAGCAGCTTTCCAATGACCATGACCACGAACACATCGTCTCGTGCGCCGAATGTGGCGCTGCTCACGTCCTCGGTGAACAGTCCGAACATCAGTCGCACATACAGCAGCTCCACGACCACCACAGAGTACATTGAGATACGCACCGAGGGGGGCACTGGGGATGAGGTGGACTCGGAATCGATACGGAAACGTCTCACAGATCGACTGCGTCGTTCGCTCTCGAAGACCATCTCGACTGTGGCGGGCTTGAATGCGGATGAGAATAGGAACAGCTCGGACAGGGGCAGTCGCTATAGCCGATCTGTGTCGCGTTCCGTTTACGATGACGAAGACAAGAGCTCGAAGCGCAGCTACTCCACCGGCGAGGAGGACATCATCGAGGAGGAGGAGCAGCTGGAGGATGAGGATGAGTTCCGCAGCTTCAATGTTACGCGGCAGTCGAGGACGCCGGACAACTCCTGCCGGAAGCGGCTGGCGCCCCAGGAATTTGGTGGCTGGCCTGGAGCACTGCTCCTGTTGCTGAATGTGCCCGCTCTGGTCTACTATCTCACCTGGAGCTGTACGGCGCGCAACGGCTGTCAGCTGAAGCGGCCCAATCCCATGGCTCTGCTCGACTGGAACTATCTGACGCATCAGGTGTTCCTGCCGCACGTCGTCGGCGTCTTCTCGGCCTACCAGTTTGTGGTCTTTCTGCTGGTGGCCCTGCTGCCCGGACGACGTGTCCATCTCACACGTGAAACGTACAAATTCAATGGATTGGGCGTCAGCTTCACCCTGCTGCTCGCTGGCGGCATCGCCGAGTATCTGAAGTATCCCGTGGTCAGCTTCATACTCCGTCACTATCTCAGATTCTGCATCTATGGCCTGATCAGCGCCTTTGTGGCCGCCGCCTGGAGCTACTGGCGCGTCGACACCACCAAATACAATGTGCTCCGCCAGACGCTGGTCAATGACTACGGGCGCAGCGGCAACTTCGTGATCGACTTTGCCCTGGGCCGACAACTGAATCCCAAGTGGCTGGGACGCGTCGACTGGAAGCAATACTACTATCGCCTCTCCCTGGTCAGCACCCTGCTCTATGCCGTCTGCTACATCTACCAGACGCTCCAGTGGCCCCAGTGGCCCCAAGCCCAGGAGGGCTACGTCCATCTCGTGCGCTACTATTGGCAGAATGTCAACTACGATGCCGGCGCTCTGCTGGCGGCCAGTTCGCTCCTGTTGTATGTGCTGGATGCGCTGATCTTCGAACATCATCTCAGCTGCTCCTTCGAGCTGCAGCACGAGGGCTACGGCTGCCTGCTGCTCCTGCGCTACGCGGCCACGCCCTATCTACTCAGCTCGGTCAGCAAATACTTCTACGAGCAGCGCGTGCCCATCAGCTGCTGGTATGCMCCGTACGCTGTGCTCTGCCTGCTGCTGCTGGGATTGGGCATCAAGCGCTACAGCTGCGCCTACAAGTACAAGTACCGTTTGAACTCGCAGCATCCCGTCTTCGCCAACATCGAGACCATTCACACCTACCAGGGCAACCGGCTGCTGCTGAGCGGCATGTGGGGCCATCTGCGCCAGCCCAACTATCTGGGTGACATCATCGCGCTTTGCGCTCTGGCCGCGCCCATGATCCTGCGTCCGGCTTGGCCGCCGCTGCTGTCGCTGCTGCTGCTGATCCTAGTTCTGGTGCATCGGGCCACGCGCGCCAATGCGCGCAATCAGGAACGCTATTTCTCCTCCTGGCAGCGCTACTGCATCCTGGTCAAATACTACATAATACCCAAGGTTTTCTAAGCCCCAGCGAAAGCTCAAGGCTCATTTTTTGATTTGGCTCTGCCCACCGCAAATTTTTGATAATTTTTGTTTTTATTTTAATTTTATTTTAATTGTATTTTTATTTTTCATTGGATTTCAACTCGAATTATTTTCCTGTACATATATTCACAGGCTAGCGACCTGTCGTCCTTCATTTCACATTTTCACCTGTTTCATTTTTCTCGATTTTAATTGATTTTAGTACAAAGMAAAAACAAAACAAAACTCGACATTTATTTTACTTCAAGGACAAGATTATATGACTAGCCATATAAAGGATGTAATACAAATTATATATATACACACACACACACACACGCGACTTATATGATTGATTGATATTCTAAGCTTTAGAATTTATTATTTAACAACTCTGATATATAATGATGATATATAATTTTAGTTATAACAATTTTAAATACATGTACCATGTAAATATATTGCAACTACTTAAATCTAATAAACAAAATACATTCGTTTCTCAATTGAAGGAAACGAAAAAAAAAACAACTATTCTATTTTATTTTAGTTTTGTTAATTGGTTTAAATTTTTTATAATGTAATTTTTCTGCAAATGAGATAAGAATTATTCTTTGATTTTATTTAAGTTTAATGCTTATTATTATTTTTTAAAGAATTATTATTTGATTTTAATTGAGTTAAATACTTTTTTTTTCATTTTTTTATTATTTATTTTATTTTTAAACTAATAAATTGTATGTTATATAGAAAAGAGTATTACGTATGCGCTACCGCTCTGAGCAAGAAAGAACTTTCGGCTCTTTTCTTTTTTGATGTTATTCCTTCACGAACAACGTTTAGGGAGAGACACGATTGACGTTCGTGCAATGAGTCCGAGTAAGCAACAGTCTCATTACGTGATCGTGAATCGTGTCGCTCCCTATACGTTGTTCGTGAATAAATAGCCCACAGACTTCATGAAGAGCCGATGCAATCGATTTTTCTCTCAGTATTTCTCAGTGTCAGTAAGAGACAGTAAAAGTAAATGACATCGAGAAACGGTTAACAAACCAAAATTTGTATTGTAACGGCTACACTGCTTTTCTTTTGATGCACTGCTTGCAGGCAGCTTACAGAAGCAGTTCAGCACGTAGGATTTTATGCTACTCGTACACAGATGGCGCTAATGTGAATATGCGAAATTTAAATCCTGAATATGGGTAGACTTACTAAATTGGCAGACATGTATAGTGGTAATTTAAAAATTGTTTATGGCCTCAAATTATCATTTAATTACCTCTTGATGAAATTATCTCATTACCCTTTAAAACTGAAGTATATATATTGTTTATTATTTACAGCCTTCTGGCTTGCTGTCCTTATTTTTTGATTAAAATCATGGATATAGAGCTATTATATTTTAAATTATATATTTTACACTAATTTTACATTTTTATTTTTATATTTTAATATTTTATTTAAACATTAAAAAAGTCAAAATAAAATATATATAAATGTATACATATAAATCAATGCTTTAAGACTAGGATTAATTATTCAAAAATATTTATTGTATCAAAATTAAATAAATTATCATTGTAGAGTAGTTATAAAAAATGGTAAAAGCATAATAATCATATTTTATTTTGTCTTATATTAATGTATGTCTGTGAAAATTGTAAGATAAATGACAAGTGGTATAAAATCTTTAACATGTTTCATATAAATAATAACTTAAGCAATAGCCAAAATATAATTACCGAAAATAGTAACACTCTTGCTGGGTCACCTTTACCGGTCAGCTGAAACTATGCAGACTCATGGCAGTAGAAATCAGATGTCAAGAAATACAAATCATAGGCTTTGCCATTGCTTTCGCATTTGAGCCAAGTTCCATTAAAGCCAAGAGCGAAACGGAACGGAACAGCCAGAATAAAGTCCGCTTGGCTTTGGGCTCGAATGCAGCGAGAAGCGAACAATTTGCTAATGTTGACGCCGTTATTATATAATTTGACGGGGCGGGACTGGGAACTGAACAAGGGCAAGGGACACACGAGGGTGGGAGGGTTAAGGGAAGGTACAGTTTCATTATCAACGCCGACGGTCATTTGTAAAGCAGACCGCAAAACGCTGTCGCTGGTTGCGGTTTTTCCCTTCTCCTTCAGCATTTCTATTTCATTTTTACTTTTTTTTATTTTTGACAGTTTCCGCGTCATTTTTCTATTGCATGTGAGGCTGGCGGGGGGTGCTGGGGGTGTTATTTGGGGGGCTGGTTGACTGGCTCCAGCCAGCCATCGTCATTATTTTGGCATTATGTGCGGCGACTCTCGCAAACATTCGTAAATGTCATTAACAGTTGTAACGGCTTTGGGGCACGCCTACYAAGGGAGGGAGGGGCAGCTGGGCAGCTGGGCAGCAGGGCAGCTAGAAGGGGGGTTGCTTACTTTTTACACAAAATTACTTCTTTTGTGAGGGCGCTGACATTCATCATCATCAACATTCGCTTGGTCTCTGCGCTCGGCCCTTGCGCTTGGGCTGCCGTGTAAACGCCTTGAAATATGCTATATAATATTTTACTTTTTTGATTCAATTTCGGTCACACAACGCGCACTCGCACTTCAACTCCAACTCCAACTCCAAATCCAACTTCAACGGCGACTCTTAAAGCTGCCAACACAAACATTGTTTTAATTACGCACAACAAGCGACCCAAAGAACAAAACAAGTTTGTACACTTGAAAAAAAAGGAATTTGTTAGTGAATCTATAAACATTATTTAAATTTAATTATTGAGCTAAAAATGGAATAAAAATTCGTTTAAAATAAATATAATTTGAGTAATTATTTGTTAAAAATATATACATAAAATT